TTCCTGTTCCTCCCTGAATGTCAGGCCAGTGGTCTTGAATCATTCCCACAGCAACTGCTACAAAAGTGACTATCTTAATCCTTTGATTAGATGGGATACTTCTAGCTTTTCAGAGGTGAGCTGTAGTAGTAATGTCCGCTACAACAATACGCTCCCAGAATGGTGGTTCCTAAGAGCAAAGTCAATTAGTACAATTTCTCCAGGTATCCAGCTATCTCCAGGTGTGTGGTCCCATGAAGCACTCTAAAAACTGTAAACAATACTTCATAGGTATAGAAGGCATTTGTAATACTGTTGGTTCAAAGGTGCTGACATGTAGCCAGTGGAGGAAGATGTTTCTTTGGAAGCCTGCCATCTTTCTGTAATGCACCTTCAACCTGAGATGATTAAGAGTCATTATATTTCCCAGTCCCAAGTCATATTGACCAGTTCTGTGGTCCTATGACTAAGTGGAGGACACAATCACAGGCTGTGAGTCATGAAAAGGGGGTGCAGGTTATAGGCAAAGGAACCCATTAGCCAGTTTACAATGACTTGTCAACTGACCAGTTATAGCTTGACCATATGTCCATGTAGAGTTGCTCATATTAGTCTGTAAATAATTCTATGCATAGTGAATGCAGCTACTGAATTATTAAACTGAGGCTACAAATGTGAACTGACAAAACCCACTTTTGGTCTCTCTTCATATTTTTCATGCTCTCATTTCTCTCTCCCTTCAGATATTTTTCCATCTGATTGTCACTGGATAGTGGAATTGCTCTGATTACCGATGTCTTTTTTGTTCTTCGGTATATTAAAATAGTAGTAACAGTTGATCTGATGACTGGTGAATATGGTTTAATCTTTAATACCTTGTGATCCAGATACTTAGCAAACACACATGAAATTTACTAAATGACCAGCACTGCGATAAAGACTTTTAAAGCCTATCCCCTTTAACCTTCATAATAACCTAATGAGTAAGTGTTATTTTCTTCCTTTTAGAAATGAGGAAACTGAAGCACGGGAAAGTTACTTGCCAAAGACCAGTAACTACAGACCGAGTATACCTTATCCCAAATGCTTGGGACCACAAGTGTTTTGGATTTCCAGTTTTTAAAGATTTTGGGATATTGGCATTATACCTACCAGTCGAGCATTCCAAGTCTGAACATTTGATATCTAAAATGCTCCAATGAACATTTCCTTGGAGTACATGTTGGCGTTCAAAAAGTTTTGAATGTGGGAGCATTTCGGATTTTTGACTTTTGGATTTGGATTTGGAATGCTCAACCTGTTTTCAGAGTCAGAGCCAAGGTCTGAATGCTCATCACCTGACATATAGTATGGTATAATCATCCCACCAAACTTATTCCAAAAGAAGACTGGGTCATCTGCTGCAGATGCTTCTGGGCCACTAGGCCAATATTAACCAAATTATTATAGATACCATCTTAACTGTAGAGGATCCCACAAGACTATGACCTAATAAAACCCTCATTTTCCCTATGCATTGTGACTAACACAGTATGTGATACATTGTAGGTCTCAATAGATGATGAATAGACAGATGAATGAGCGCATGAGTTGAATGGTGAGGAGCAAGTGAAGTGTCATATTTAAAAGAGTTAATTCCCAGATTGATTCAAGTGCGGACCTAACACTGCAGCTGTAACTCTGGGTCCGGGTCTTGGTGGCTCCTGCTTTGCTGAGCTTTAAAACTTTAGTAACTGGATGATGGTGAGATCTGGGGGGTCCAGAGGAGGAAACTGGTTCTGGAGTGGTGATGCTGGTTGTCAGAGGGCTGAGGGTGGTGGCCTTTTGCTAACT